CTCAATAAGCAGTATTGTGTGTACATGAAGCACCATTCTGTGCTCAATGAGCAGCAGTGTGTGTACAATAAGCACCATTCTGTGCTCAATAAGCACCATTCTGTGTACATTAAGCACCATTCTGTGCTCAATGAGCAGCATTGTGTGTACAATAAGCAGCAGTTTGTATACATTAAGCACCATTCTGTGCTCAATGAGCAGCATCGCCGCCGTGGCTCCCCAGGCCGCACCTGCCAGTAGAGCTGCAGGAGGTCGCTGGTGTCCGGCGCCGCGCCCTCGGCCAGCACGTACAGACACTGCGCCACCATGGCGCTCCTGGGGACACAGGGTTTGAATGAGAGCTTGGCTAGGCCAATGTTCAAGCAGCAATCAATTTATTAATTAATATGGTGAAGTATGAGCAATACAGCGCTGGGTACGGTGGGGGAAGTTTTCCCTCCAACTTCAGACCAATAATTGATGGTTACAGGTATTTATAGGGGTACTCATCAGCTTTCTCAGCAGTTTCTATTCCAATTTTTACTCATCAGCAGTTTTTATTCCAAATTTTTACATCACAATTCTATACACTATTGTGATTTAGTTTTTTTATGTGTTTTGCTATTTTTATAACCGTTTTTTAAGGAACATTAATCCAGAAACACCAGAGGTTTATGTCTAAAAAGGAGACAGAGGAGTCCTTTCTGGCTTTATTCCAATAAAGGGAGAGGCGGTGGGGCATTTCCCTGGGATGTCACCAATTTTTGGAGGATGCAGCCTCCTTTTTATCCCAATTTCCCTTCTCTCTTTCCCCATTGGCTGAGGTACTTGAGAGGTTCAGACTTCCCAAAACACCTGATACCAAAGATTTCTCTCTGATGTATAACCCTCTTTTTTAATTTTTAATTCTTACTGAATTTAGAGATTTTTCTTCCCTATTGTTTCTTTCATCCTTCAATGTCTAATTTCATTTATCAGCAAACCTAAAGTTTATTTGTAAAGCAAAATATCCTTTTTCCATTCATCCATCATTGGAATCCTTCACGTTGTTTCTTTTATCTCCCAGTACTAGTTTTATCTACCAGCAGATCCACATCTTGTTTGTAAAGTCAAATCCACTATTCCTCTTAATTTTATTACTATTAAACTTTTAACATTTTAAAAAGAAGTGATTGGTGTTTTTCACACAGGGAAGGGGCTCTGCAGCCAGGCTGGAAGGAGGTCCTGTTCAAAGAGCGCCAGGTGAGCTTTATACCAAAGCTTACACAGGACTTGTCCTTGCCAGCCTTTAGACAAGCATCAGCAAACACATTTTTAGCTCCCTGAGCTCCCTGCCAGCCCCAGATGTCATTTAGGGCCACAACTGGAATTTTTCACGTTACAGCAGCTGGGAGCACTGGAGCTCTGCTGCCCCTGAGGTCACACACACACAAGGCAAGGATTTGGGCAAAGCCTGGAGGATGTGTCGCTGCTGGGAGCTGTGGGAAGGGATGCACAGGAGCTCTCTGCAAGCAGAAATACCTGGCAGCCTCCGAGTATCTGTGCAGGCACCGAAAGCAGGCGGCTTGGCGCAGGTGGTTGCAGAAGTGAGAGGGGTTCTGGATGATGCTCCTTGGGGAGAGAACAGGCATGGACAAGGTTAGCCTGGCATTTTTTACACCACTAAAGCTCCTAAGAATCAAGTGGTGCCTGAGGCAGGCTCCAAATGCACCTCTGCTCTATAACTCAGTGCTACATGTCAAATGTCAGGTGAGCTCTCGGTCTCTGCCTCCCTCTCCCTCTCTCTGCAGCTGTGATTGATGAAGAAAACATTACTAAAACTATTACTTAAAGGTTCTTTTCATTGTGGTTTCTCTCCCTCTCTCTCCAACTTTGATCAGTGAAGAAAACATTACTAAAAATATTTCTTAAAGGTTCATTTCATTGTGGTTTTATCCTAAATGCAATTTCATTAGGGGTTTGTGTATTGCTCTAGAAAAAATGCTCCAGGGGTAATATTCTCTCTTGCCTTTGGCATCATTCTCTCTTGCCTTTGGCGTGTAGGTATCATAAGCAAAACTGCCACAGCACAAGTTCTTGTTAACCCCCAGCTGCCCAAAAAGGAGCAGCAGGTGTCTGGCCCATCTCCCTGAAGCACTGTGCACCTGGAATGTATCACAAGATGAACCTAAGATAGTTTTAAATACTAATAATTTTAATATTTTAAAAATTAATATTTTTAATACTTTCTGTACAAGGCATAGGTACAGCATGGGTGAACCTTGGTCTGTGTGTCAGACCCTTCAAGAGATGCTGTTAGTCCAACTTAAACATCAACTCCACCTGTGTGTTCTCTTGATTCCTCTTCTCTCACTCATTCATTCCTAGCCTTGGTTTCAGTTTGGATTTCAGTGTGAGCACTGAATCCAACCCTTGTTTTCCCTTACCTGTGGGAGTGATGCAGAGCAAGGCCAGGCTGCCCCAGTTTTAAGTAGCAGATGACAAGCTTTGACTCGATCCAACTGGCGAGCCTGGAAATATCATCTGGGGAGGACTTCAAGGGATCCTCTAGAACAAAGCCTTTGCTGCAAAGCTGCACATGAAACAAAACCATGATTTCCAAATATCAGAATACACCACTTGCTGGGTGGAAGCACTTTGGGGGGAGAAAACTGAGGTCTAACAGGCTTGGGCTTTAACTAAAGTCAGCATTACAAAAGCCAATACAGAGGACAGAAGGGTCTTTCAGGGATTCTCTGTGTTTTTGGTTTTTGAGAGCCGGATTTAGGGGCTGCTGAGGAGGGCCAGCCCTGCAATTCTGTGATGTCCCAATCACTCTGTCCACAATCCCAGGGATGAATTCCCTCATGCATTTTCCTGGTATGTCTGTTCACCAGCCTTTCCTCTCTGGAGGAGACAAGTCCTCCTTTCTTCTTAAGTGACCTGTGGTGCTGTTCCTACCACAGCTCATTTCAGAATATAGGGGGCAAAAAAGCACTTAAAAAGGATGACACTTTATCATTTTACTCACTGACTGCTATAATATTTATGGCTTTAAAAAATTACTTCAGTTTTGTAGGAAAAAAAAAGGAATAGGATATTGACTTGTGAACTGGAAAGCCCTAATATTTGACAAATGCTTTTGAATGAAGTTTGGCAGAGCAGTGCTAAAAAAAGTTCAGTCCCTTTCTCAGAGTTTGAAGAAGCTGAAGGTATTGGAGTCAGGGTGGAGAGAAAGTATTAGCTAGGGCAGAGTGAAAACTCCCCAGTTATTGAGAGGGCATTTGTTGCTGATAGAGCTAAGATTAAAGAAGGAGCATTTTTTCCACTCTGTTGGATTTCAATATCCTCCACACATCAATACAGTTAAGAACTTGCAGAAAAGCACAAAACTACCTGACATTCTTTGGTTCAGCCCAACACTTCTCCCCTCTGTGGTTTATTTCCAACTCCCAATTCTCAGATTTCGGGCGAAATCACATCTCAGCATTTCTCTCCAACCCTGGGCACTCCAGGTTGGTGCCCCCGGTTCCCTTTGCCATTCCTGCCCCAGGGGGTGCCCTGGCTTTGCTGCAGGGGTCCCAGCTGCCCTGGGCTCTCAGCCCTTTAGCTCCATACCTCCAGAGCCGTGGAGAACTTGGCAGCGGCCGCGGCGAAATCGCGCTGGCGGCACCGAGCGCTGCCGTCCCGCAGGGCCGCCCGCAGCCCTGCTCCAGCACGGTGCCACCGGCTGTCCCCAGGGCCTTGGGCAGGAGCCTGAGCCTCTGCTGCTGCTGGCCCTGCTGGTGGCCCTGCTGCTGGTGGCACCGCTGGTGGCCTTGCTGGTGGCACTGTTGGTGGCACTGCAGGCGCCACTGGCTCGCCAGACTCGAGCTCGGTGTCCACCTCATCGGCGCAGATCAACTCTGCTTCTATTTCCCAGAGTCTGGAGAGAGGGATGAGAAGTGGAGGGCTGGGCAATGTCCCTGTGCTGCTCTCTGCTGCTGCTGTTTCTGCTTTTGTCCCCGACACGTTGCCATGGGTTCCTGCTTTCCGCTTACGGCTCGCTCTGTCTGCGCCGCCCTGGGGTCGTTCTTGGGCTTCTTTTGGCTCCTGCCACACCTACAAGAGAGGGAGTGGGAGGTGAGGGGAGAATTGTGGGATTTAGAGTCATTTCAGAGAATCCAATCCAATCCCAGAATAGTTTGGGTTGGAATGGATCTCAAAGATCATCTCATTCCATCCCTTGCCATGGGCAGGGACACCTCCTGCTATCCCAGGCTGCTCCAAGCCTGTCCCACCTGGCCTTGGGCACTGCCAGGGATCCAGGGGCAGCCACAGCTGCTCTGGGCACCCTCACAGCCAATAGTTTCTTCCTTATGTCCAATCTAAATCTCTTTCTGCTTAAAGCCGTTCCCCCTTGTGCTTGTCACAGCTTGCCTCTGCAAAATGCCCCAGGAGAGCTTTGTTTTGTTCCCAGAAGTGACTTCTGACAATGCTTTACCATGGATTTTAGCACCAAACAAAATGACATCAAGGGGAAATATTTTGAAATTAGTTGCCTTCCATTGTTTTAACTTTACTGGATGCATTGGGATAAATAGGTTTGGAACATATTATTAAATTAAATTGGATGAAGAAAAGAAAACAGAATTAAATAAAATGCAAGTATCTGGGGAAAAATGTCTTTTCACAGTCTGGAGTAGAGATCTGATGTTCCTTCTGTGCTTTGTCCTGCTAAGAGGAGGGCAGGTGTCCTGCCCTATTCCAAAGTACCATCTGAGGTGCCTCTTCTGATCCCAACAAGAATGGGTGTTCATTCATGGAGAACCGATTTCACAATCTGCTCAAACATATTCAATCTATTTCTACTCTGAGCACTTCGCTTGTGCTTAGGACACGTATTACTGTGATTACAATGAAATTAAATAACACATCAGAGATCAGATTCGTGTTCTATTTGTTCATGTTCACCACCAAAGATTTTGTTAAACTGATGGAGCAGAGGAAAGAAGTCTCTTTTGGGGTGAAATGGGGATCCAGGAATCAGGCACAGAGAAATGAACCCCCCTCAGGGGCTCTCAGGAGAGCCATGGCCCAGCAGCTTCTCCCTTGCAGGGCTCCTGCAGTTCTCCTCCCCTCAGGGAATTCCCATTTCACAAGGGTCCTGAGCCAGCTCAGCACAGCTGGACTCACCTCAGGGGCTCTTGAGGAAGGTTCCTGTTGCAGAAACATCTGGGAAGGGAACTGCTGGCTCAGTCCAAGCTCCTGGAAGAACACAGGGATGAGCACACTCAGGTTTGCATGGCTGTCCCTGAGGACGTTGTTTTCCCTCAATGTTTTCCCAGCCTATCCCAGCTCAGGAATTCCAGCTCGGCTCTTCCTCCCCTGCTTGGGAATCCTTTCAGCCCTGGCCTTTGAAAATGGAACAAACACAACCTGCTGGAAGAGGCCTTACTTGATGAGAACACCAGAAGGGAAGTTGTTCTGAGCCCCTTTCTGCCTGGCCTTGAACACTTCAGGGCAACCTCTGTTTGCTGTGGGCAACAAGCCCACCCTCCTCACCATTCCTCCCTGGAAAGGGAGGAATTTCTTCCCAAGATCCAGCTGAACCCTGCCCTTTGTCAGCTGGAGGCCATTCCCCCTTGTGCTGTCCCTGCAGGTCCTTGTCCGAAGTCCCTCCCCAGCTCTCCCTGAGTCCCTCCAGGGGCTGGCAGAAGCTCTGAGGTTTCTCCTGAGCCTTCTTCAGGCAGAGGGGTCCCATCTCTCACAGCCTTTCCCGCAGCAGAAATGCTGCAGCCCCCCCAGCACCCTCTGATTCCTCCTGTGGCTCCTCCGGGCCACAAGGAATCATCTGGGAGGGGACTGGGAGAAACCCATGGCGGTGTCGGGGCAGTGCTGGGGCTGGGCTGTGAACTGGGGTGTTGGGAATGCAGGGAAAAGCTGCTCCCTCCTTAGTGCCTGCAGGGATGGGAGATGTGGGTGTGCCCTGGCATGGCCAGCGGCCCCAGGTCTGGCATGGCCAGGAGTCTCAGTTCCCTGGCATGGCCAGCAGTTCCATTTCCCTGGCATGGCCAGCAGCCCTGGCATGGTAGCCCCATTTCCCTGGCATGGCCAGCAGCCCCATTTCCCTGGCATGGTAGCCCCAGTTCCCTGGCATGGCCAGCAGCCCCATTCTCCTGGCATGGCCAGCAGCCCTGGCATGGCCAGCAGCCCCATTTCCCTGGCATGGCAGCCTCATTTCCCTGGCATGGCCTGTCCCCAGGGCCAGCACCAAAGCTGCCACCAGCTCCAGAACAGCCCCCTGGGAATGCCCTGGTGTTCCCAAAGAGATCTATTCCCTATGGGACATCCCAGGCCCCCCCAGGCCCCCTCTGGGCCCGGCACAGGGGGAGCTGCCCCTTCCCCACTCACCTGCCAGGGCTCCATCGGCCGTTCTGGCAGTTGCTGGGCTCCAGTTCCACATCCAGGGCAGTTGGAGAGCTCTGCCCTGCCCAGCTGCCCCCGCCCCAGCCCAGCTGCCCCCCAGCCCTTCCCCACCCCTGGGGCACACCGGGCACCGCTCCTGCCCTGCTGGCAAGGTGGGGATGGCTCCAGGCCAGCCCCCCTGAGGGCACCCAGGAGCTTCCAAACCAATCCTTCCTTCCCCTCCTGGGGCTCACCTGCAGCTGGGCTGGGCTTGTGCTACAAATGGCCACAAAGATGATTTGGGAGCAGCAGCTGTCACTGTGCAGGCAGGGGATGGAGCTGAAGGGATGTGAGCCAGCTCCAAACACATCTCTGCCATTGTGGGCCCAGAGCTGCTGAACACAGCTCTGCCAAAGCTAAACCCAGGCTTTGGGGCAGGGGTTTGGAAAGACAAACTCAGAACTGGCAACAGCTCTCGTCTGGTGTCTGGCTGGTCCAGCTCTCATCGGGTCTCTTCTGGTTGTCCAGAATTAGATTTAAGATTTTTTTTCGATTTTGATGTGAAAGGGGATTTCTATGTGTTCTTTCTGCACTTATTGCAGGCAGGTGATTAATTTTATTTATGCTTTACCTTCAAGCCTGGGAGTATCTGACTTTAGTGAAAGTCATTTTTAAATGAACCTGAAAACTTAAATCACTCAAAGCATCTTTCTTCCCAGCAAGAATATAATAGGTCTTTGGTGCAATCCGCCTTACAAAAATGGAGGATGACCATGAAAAATATCTTAGAAAATATGGATTTATGTGTTTGTTCCTATTTTGAATGGCCAGCTGGACAAACCTTGCTGTGGTTTGCTGGAGAAACTCAAGTCAGATTTCTTTTGTACCTCTGAACTTGTAGGATGATTTGATGGTTTCTTTCAGGAGCCTCATGACAGTAAAGAAAAATGAGGTTTTGGTATATTTTATTATTTTATACATTATTTATTTATTTATATTTTTCAAGACTCTTAAATCTTGCACTTTATAAATAGCAGCTACAGTGAAATTAAAATAAATGCTTCAGTGCAATGGAAAAGTTATAATTCTGGCAGCTGCTTGCCCTGCCCTGTTCTGTGTCATTGCTTTGTGTGAAGCCTCTGCTGCTGGGGTCCCTCTTTCACTGGTTTTGGAAATCTGATGGAATTGCTCACACGTTAGAGAGATAGGGTTCATTCCAATTAAATTTATAGCCTGAGCTCTTCTAGGCCAAGTGCTTGAAGCTTTTTGTGAGAAATGATGCTCAGTTTCAAAAATTTAGAAGGTTTATTGAGACCTTATCAAAAACCAACAGAAGACTGAATAAAGAAAATAATACAGCACCAAGAGCAAAGGATTCAATCTCCATCTGTTCGTCTACAAAAATGGATGTTCTGTCCTTTATACTTCTAGCCCCTCTTAACAAAAATTTAATATTTGCTCTTAAATTATGAGAAAAAAACATCTCATTACTCATCTACAGCATCGTTTTCTAAAGTTGCCTTTTTCAGCTTCTGTTAATACTTGTGATTTTATAACAGAATGTTCTTGGATGGGATTTTGCAAGATTCTGTCATCAGATTTCTGTTTTGTTCTTGGATTTCTTAGTGCTGGGTCAGAACTGAATGCAGCATTTTGGGAGGGAAGCTGTCAGCCTCAGTGGGGCTGGGACCTGTGGGGCTCTGAGGGGTCCCTGGTGTGAGAATCCCCAATCACTTGTGTTAAAATTTTAAAAGTTTAATAGTAATAAAATGGTTATAAAAATAGTAATACAAATTAGACCAATAAGAATTTGGACAAGCAGAGTTAGGACAATAAAGGACAATAAAAAGCAAAGAATTACAAATGTTTGGATGCTTTCCTCTTGAAAGCATGGCTCGCTAACAAAGCATTAACCCTTAAAAGCAACAGCCTGTTGCATATTCATATATTTCAGACACGATGCAAACATTCCTTTCAAACTAGGGATTTTTCTGTTTATTGTCAACTTCTCCCATCTTATAAATCATAGTTTGGCTCTGTGGAGTCTGAAAGGAGGTAGAAGAGGTCTGGTTCTTCCTGATAAGTAGACAATAATTCTTCTCTTTGGGATTTTAGTGTCATTTAGTTGCTGTTATTTCTATGCAAAGAATTTCTTTATTATCTTATCCACTCTCTGAGCCAGTTAAAAGTATCTTACATGGCATGGTTTCTATTTTAATATTATGTTGTAGCCTAAAACTATATTTATTACACTACTGAAAAAAACACAGTACTACTAATTAATACAACATAACACATATAGTATTACATTTAATATCTGCAAAGAGCCAGTCATGTAATATGTACTTTTCACACATAACTACGTGAGAGAAAGGTCTGGGGCAGAGGAGATGAGCAGAGTTGTCCATCCCGTGTTGAGGAGTTGTTTTTCCACTGGGCATGGTCTCCTCAGCACACCCTGGATCAGTGCCAGTGCACTGTGCTGTTATCGCCTCTTCAGAGTGGGCACTGCAGCCTCCACCTCCAGCCCTCAGCCCTCTCTAATGAGCTGTGCAGGTGTTGAGGGCTTGACAAAGGGGAAGGTTGTAAGAGCCTAAATGAGGGATGTGGGACTCCAGGCAGCTCTCCAAAATGCAGTTTATTGTATACAAAATGCAGTTTATCGTATAAAAAATGCAGTTTATTGTATACAAACTGCAGTTTATTGTATCCTTGATATAACAGCAGTCCAGGGTCGTGGGTGACAGAGCTGTGCCTACAGCTGTCAGCTCCAGCTGCAGACAATCCTGGAGACCCTTTAATTTTGGTTACAATGCATTATATACTCTTCTTTGCTGAGCATAAAGATGTTTTTCACTAACTGGAGAGCTTAATTGGATAATCCTTAAATGATGAAATACATAACAGACTGAAAGGGCTCTATGAAGTCAAGTGTCATTATTTTATCATGTGATAAAATGGTGTGAGTATTGAAATTTCAGATTTTA